GACTTCCGCAGGCCGCTTGCAAGATTGTTCCGACAGCACTTTCCGAGGCACTGAACAAGCTTCACAAGACCCTCCAGAAGACGTCTCCGCCAACAGCTCCACGCCTGAGTGCCCTAGAGAAAATGGTGACTATGCTTCTATTGCAGCAGTTTTTAATGTGCTATTTTATGTTTAGGACATTCTGAGGAAACTATCCTCAAAAGGACACTACGTGTGCACTTACAAAATGTAAGGGTGGGCTCTCAGTGATTTTCATTTTTTGGTGCATTGTCAACATTGTGAATGGTTTGTTTTTAGGTAGTGGAATCGAAAACTTTGCACCACAGAAAGTTGTGCGCCTTGGGTCTGAAAGAGCGAGGAAAGTGCTCGTATGGGATTAGTTGTTCTTCGCTTTTACATCCATTTTTTTGTTTATTGCAGTGCGTTCCTGTGTGCCAGCAACAATGTCTTCATCAATGAAGTACAAGCAAACCATTAAACATCTGCAAGCCAAAGTAGCAGCACAGCGGAAAACTATCAAAAGACTGCGGAGACAGCCTCACCAAACTAACCACTCATTCGTTGCATACATTGTTTTGGTTACCCGCTATGAGGAGTAGGGACACTGTGTATTCGCTCGAAGTGATTTGCATAACCTTAAAAAGAATGTTGGGTATCCTGTCTGTATTTTTGTAGCAAATGCGGGCGAACTGTACACTTTACTGTGGGTCGCTTGGTCACTGTGTATGCTTTATCTCTCCTGCTCAAGTAATATATCGATAACAAAACCGCTTGTTGAAATGTCTTCGAGCGGGTAAGGAACACAGTATGAAGTGGGCACAGTTCACGTTATCACGCTTTTTGTATTTTAGCTTCTCATCAACCTCCTCATCTCGCCCATCAAAATTGTCAAACGAATACCCAAACTTGTAGCGTTTGATGGGGCTGCGGACGCTGCCATTTTATTTTTATATAGCGTGTGAGTGATAACGTACGATGTAGAGCCTTTGTGAAAAATAATGAGCCAAGGTGGTTTCCTTCTGCTATTTATTAGCCCTGTAATACCGCTCTCGTAACACCAATTAAGGTCCACAATTCTGGATAAGTGATGACTACAATCTATTTTAGCTCGCAAGCGTCACAACAACACCCAGATGCAAATCACTTGGGATCTTAAGTTTTTGATAATAAGAAGAGCCACAAGACCTGCCAGTGTTGTAGCATAAAGTTTGTCTTTCACGTAGTGAGCAAGCTGCAAAGCCCTACCTTTCTGAGGACAAGCAGGCATCAAGTCTGCTTTTTTTTTTCATTTTGGGCTAGCTGTTCTTAAGCACAGCCAGCACACTGCAGCTTTGCCTTTCTGCTATATTGTGTCGTGTGGTTTCTGTGCGCTCTTTTTTTCTATGCATTATTTCGGTTAAGCCCAGGCGTGATTCGCGACTTCATTGCTGTGTATATGTCACTTCTTCATCAGCATTGTGCGCTGTGTTTTTGCCATAGATCCTTACCCACTGGCCCGGTGTGTCATACTTCACCAGCTTCTCGGCTTCTGCCAACTCTAGCGATGTGTGCGTTGTCTGTGTTCTCTATGTATTTGTTACAATATTTGTTACAATTTATTTGTAAGGCGAGATGCATTTGTTGTCTACCTTTGTCATATTGTGCTTTTTATATTCTCATACTCTACCTTGCCTTTGAATAAAACATTGCGGATGCTCTGTTTCTTTGACTGATATATACATTGATCACTTGTTGCAAAAGAAAAACACAAGCGCGATGAATAAAACCGTAGTGAATTATCATTACCTGCATCTGTTTTTATTATAACTTAATCGAAATAAAAATTACGTCACGACTGATTTGCACGAACCACTGAACAAAACAAAACAGGGAATTGCTAAATCAAAACGACCTACAAAAACTATCCATTTGGGCGATGAATAGTGGTCTGAAATCATGAACTTTCGTCATAGCCAAACGTCGGTTATGCAAAGTAGTTCAAAATTTGCGCCAGTGAAACCGAAACCGGAAGCGCACGCCACTTGCTCTCACCAACCACTAGGTGTGCTAGGGTCGATTGGGCCGCTGGGGTCTACGGGAGTGTCCACTCTTAACCTTTATTTCTCTATGGCAGAGGTGCTTCTTTTTTGTGCAGCGTACAGTGTAAAAGTAAGATCGGATTCGGAAAAAGCGAAATGAGTAACGTGCGTCACTGCTTGCTCATTGTTCAATGAAAGAAGGTTTCATAAAGTATGACGTAGCCAACAACAGCAACAAACTGCTGCATCTTAAATTAAGAAAAAAGCAAAGTGCTGGACATTTACCGTAGAACATGGACATAGATTGAAATACGCGTTATTTTTTCATGAAAGCGAAATAAAAACTATTTTACAAAACGCTTTGCATTCATCGGGATGTCGACACCTCTGTGTAGTGTCGTTTATGCTATTTGGATAAAATCGCTGAATTTCAACGAATTCAGCAACCTGTGGCAGAAGAGCCTTTTGAATTTTCAGTTTCGGTTTCTGCGCCGCCGACGCTGCCGCGGCCGACGAAAATTGGCCGCACGCCGCCGCCGATGAAAAAACCGGCGTGCGCCGACAACACCGCCGCCGCTGACTCTGGACGACCCCCACGCCACCGCCGGTCAAAATCGCCTCGGCGCACACCTCTACGTGAGTTCTTGGTTGAAAAACTAACCTTACAGAAAAGCTGCCTAGCAGATTATTGCAAACTGTCCAGTGTTTTCTCCTGCAGATAATTTTAGGAAGACCAGGGCGTAAAGCGTGAGCACCAAGACGCTCTGAACCATCCCTGAGAAGCTCCCATCACGCTTCCATGATTCTACCATCAACCTTTAGTGTGTAAATAGTGTATATAAACATTCCTCTTATCAGCCCCGGCTACTCTGCTCGACTTCTACCCTAGACTTGGCTAGCTCCTTCGAATACATCACGAGCAAGCAAAAGGGCATGGAGTTGTACAGGCGAATATGTGCGACATCACATCACTTTTATTACGTGACATATTCGTTTTCCGCTGCATTCGCCCGCTCGTGTCCGCAGATAACGTTCCAGTTTTATAGCGACGACACACCGTTGATTGCAGTCACGTCATTGAATATCAATTAAACAGAGGTTGTATTATTTATTTGCAAATTACTTCACCATAAAGTATGGTGAAGTAATTTATTACTTAGCCACCTGAGGAGCTTTCTATCTTGACTAACTTTTTTATCAAGACCTGAATATAAAGTTAAGATTTATTTGGTTGATTCTGAGCATTGCCTTCACAACAGAAGTACATCACCACTGTCCGCAACAATTATTATTCATCTTTCACAGTGCCAGTAGGTCCGTTCAAGGTACGTGATAAAAAAATGTTTGCTGGACTACGTCATATACGACATGTTGCTCAAGTGCCTGTCTCCGCATTATTGACGAATCCAGCCGTCTTTTGTAAACTTCTTGCTGGCAAGTTTTTTTTTATTTTATTGTGTTCTTTTTAAAACTGGTGGCCTCAGACAAGCTTATTACGCCTCTGCTCACCACTTATATAGCATTGTTACACGCGGCGCCTGGGCCGACGGGGGAGAGTGGCGTTCTTTGTTCGTCAAACAAGTCACCGAAGGGCTGCCAGCCATGTTTTGTCCATCTTAGCCGGGAAGTGAGGTGGCATTCCGACACCATAAGACGTTCGACGTGACGACCACAGTGATTTCTTGGTGTCACAGGTGCAGCGTGGTGGCCACGCCCCAATCAAAGACGTTGACGTGAGCGAGTGTGAGCGGCACCGTCAGAAATGGTGTCCCCCCCCCCCCCCCCCCGTGATTCAACAGCGCATTCTGGACCCTTTCCCTGATTTAGTCAAAACGCTCACTTTATAATGAGCCACCCAGCTTATTCGCAAGAGATCTCTCGCCCTGTCTGTACAGAATGTAATAAATCCTCTGTTAAGTTTGCCATCCTACTCCTGAGTGCACATGCGTTTTCTTTTCTGTCTCTCTACACCCCCTTTCTTGCCCCTATTTCTCCACCCCCAGTGCTGGGCAGCGAACCGGATGCCAAGATCTGGTTAATCCCCCAGCCTTCCTTTCTCTCTCTTGCCATCTTACTGCCTTGGCATCTTCATCCCGGATATCTGATGCCTGAATTAAAAAGCATCAAATATTTTCTGCAGCATGTTGAGATGCTGCATATAAGTGGTCATCGTCGAAAATTATCAATTTTAACACCACGGACAGGTGATGATATACCCTGAGTGGGTTCGAGCATGTATTATGCCTCGACGCTTCTAATCTCCATTAAACTTCTCCCTTTCGATTTCATCCTTCGGGGCTTTGTGTAGTTCTTCACCTAACGCGCTGCATTCGTGCTGCACTGCTACCATTTCATTTATTCTGTGTATTCGCCCTGTTTCGGGCACGATCATAGGCTGCCATCTTGGACTGATTATGATGCCGTTTTGCATCCATATGAATATTCGAATAGTGCTACGGTGAACTCACATGCATCAACACGCTGGGCCAGTACGTTCAACGTTGTATGACCAAAATCATTGCTAAGTATGACATAAAAAAACAGCAAAAATTGATTTTAAGCCTAAAATGGCAGCGTCTATGCATTACTGTAACTGTTACATTTATTTTTTGTCAATTTGTCCAATACGTCATTTCATGCAGCGGCCGCCGAACTTGTGCCGCTGTTCATAGTGGTACTCTCGGTCTGTGAAGCTGGATGAAGATAACGAAGAATTTTTCACTGGCTACATAAATGTGCAACGAAGCTATAAATCAAGTTGAAAAAGGAAAAGACAAATCTGTGAAAATTCGGTACTGGTGCATAAATGGCGCGCCGATTGCGCCGATGAAAAACGTCGGCGGCGGCGCGCCGATCAGTTCGCGTCGGCGACGGCGGCGTGGCGAAAACTCTTGGCGGCGGCGCGCCGACCAGTCGGCGCACATTTCTAACTGTGGGGACTCCAGCAGCCCACTACCTTCTTCTAGCTCACTTTACCGATGCAGACACCTCTCCTTCTACCCACCGTGTCTGGGCCTCTCCTAAACATAGAATAGAAGAGCTAAACATGACATTTCCAGCTGAAAAAGAAGTTGTTGCCAAATGAGACGCATTTGCCATGAATACATCGGATGCGTAAGTTCATTACGTTCGGTTGTTTGGTTTTAGCGTCAGTGTGTCGAGACACAGAAGCTAACCAGTGTGCATTGATGGCGTTTTTGTTCATTTTGTCCGCAGTTTCGATCGCGGACACCTAGGTGGGAGGTTCATAGAAAAACGCAATTATTACCTGTTGTCACTTGGTTCATGCACTGCGTGAACGTGAAACAATGTGCAGGCGCGATGTTCCATCGATGAAGCTTTAGTGAAGGCCTTTCGTGTAACGAAGTATCTTACACTTGTCAACATGCATTGGTAGAAAAGCCTGTAGAACGCGCTGCCGCTATCATTGCGTCAAAACGGTAACTGCAGTAGCGCGATCGATGAACTTGGTCACTGAAACTGCAAATCTGGCTAAGCACCCTCAAGAACTGCTTTTTTTTTCTTGTGCAGTAACGACGTGTGCACGATTTTTGTATATCTTGCCAACAAGAGAAGAAAAATGTGTGTCCGTGGGTGACATAAGCTTGGTGCAGCCGTGTAGGTGCTACAATCATGCAGGGTGCCGGAAGTGGCAGCGTACCCAGCTGCATGGAACACCACAGCCCCGCTGGAGAAACTGCCTCTGGACTCGAACTTCGCATGGCTTTTGTGTGCTCTGCTCACGGCGACGGCATGGGTCATCTACATCACATTCTACAATGCCCGCGTGTTGGGCTTGCTCTTGACAAAAATCCTCAACCGCTTTGTGGGCAAGGCCTATCTCAGGATCGGTGAGTGATCTGCATAACAAGGGGCTGAGCTTGTTCTAGCTTCTTAAAAAGCCTTCTCAGCTGGCCACATGCTCAGCCGTATCCAATGTTAAGTTACATTTTTGGGCTTTTAGTTTGTGAAAAAATAATGGCCGATGAGTATGCAGTGTTTTTTGTGTGTGCTAACTATTTTCTAAGTGAGAAAATAATGGCTCCAGTCATGCTGTGAAGTTGGTTGGATAACGAAGCCCTTGAAGAGGCTGTCTGCTGCTCAGAAAAAATTGTTTGGCTGTGGCACAAATGAGAGGATCGTTCCATAACATGGGCGGCAGCGAGCGTGCTCGGCGCAGTGCCCTTTCATTTGTCTTCGTGTTGTGTGCGCAGAAGTTCCAGTATGCAATTTTTGGGGGGGTGCTCTTGTTGGAGGCCTTAAAAAACACCATTTTTTTATTTCTCCTTCGTAAAACACCCCCTGCATACAAATTTCGAGGAGGAGGGGAGAGGGGAAAGGTGGCTACAGGCTTAGTAGAAAGTATATATGTGAGAGAAAGCAACCGATTTATGAGAAACTTGTTCTGGCTCCAACTTTCGCTACTTTTGTGACATGAAGGGATGCATGACAATTGGGTAACCAGGAAACACGCTGGAAATGGCAGTCAAATTCACACGTATTTTTGGTGACTCAAAGAGTAGTCAGTGCCCCAAAAATATAATGAGCTGACGATGCCACTGGCGGACCTGTGGTTTGAAATGAAATTTTTCTGGGATATTGCTTTCAGCCACTTTTGCTGGATAGCTTAATCAGCTGGAAACTCGTGGAAGCTTAGATCAAGCTTCTTCTTGGTGCTTGACTTGAATTGCAGTACGGCATGCAGCATTACGGCATGTTCCTGAAAAACACTATAAAGGACACGCAGAATCTGAACGCAGATTAAAAAACAAAGCACTTCCCTCAAGTCATTGTGATATGACGTGAAAAAGCAATGAAAGCATACATGCTGGTCGCAGTAGTTATCAGCAGTGGTTTAGTCAATGAACTGGTAGATTAACCATATGCTTGCTTTAGTAGAGGCAAATATAGAGTAAACCTTAAGCTTCACATTTAAGGGTTGAACCCGGCAGTGATATCTGTGTGTGTGTGTAATACCATTTTTGGCAGCAATCTTGCAAAGTAAAGCAATGTAAAAAAGAAAGATAAGTGACTTTTCTGTTTAGCCATTTAGTGTTTGATAGGATAATAAAGAAATCACAGCATATCCACGAAATGAGTAATGATGAGTGGGGCAAAGCGTCCGTCAATCCGTTTGTGCACCTGTTCATGCGTCCATTTGTCTATCTGACCATCTGCTTGTCTGTCTGTGCGTCCATCCGTCCATATGGTGAACACTTCAAGTACCGCCATCTCGCTTCTTTTTATCATATATCCATCATGTACAAGTCCAGCAGACAATCCAGGGTCTAAACGAGAGTATGTACCACATTTCTGCTGTCAGTGCTTTGTTAACACCGAGAGCGTGATAATGACGCCGTGGTACGTTTTTCGTTACATGTGGCCATGGGGATATGTGCCCGAGGACGGGTATGTGCCACTGGTATGTGGGTGGCTACCTAGTACAACTACATAGGAAGCCAAAGCAATGCATGATGGCGCTGCAACTCCGGACAGGCAGCTCCACCTTTGGTAGAAAAGTAGAAATCGGGGATATGGATGGCACGTTTTCTCTTCACTCCAATGCGCTGCCGCTCGCTTACGTGCTCTTGCAGAGAGCGCGCGCTGCATTCGAGTCACCTCACAATGCACCGAATGCAGTGCGGCTTCACAAAGATCTGAGCTGGACAAGCACTTTCGAAAAGTAAATAGAACCAAAGTAGTAAACCTCGTTAGTCAAATTTATGATGTGGAGCAGACGAGGATGCCCGAGTCATTGCGAAATGCATTTCTCGAGTCCTCCGTGATAATACCGTGCACAGCATATGCCTGCCAACATGAAGCTGCGTACTTTATTGATGTGCTGTGTTGACGTCTACGGAAAGCGTATAATTGTTGTTTTGATGTGGTATCTTGCAGTAGCATCCGTGTACTGTCATGTGCAAACGTTTGTGGTGTGCTGAAAAAAATAAATACGAACTAATGTTATAGGATCATGGCATTAAAATGTCTGAGAAGTTTTAGTCATGTCCTCCGTGCCGCGCACGACCCGCTGACGTCGTCAGGAAGCAGCAAGCTAAGTCTAACCACAGTGAGGCAAGTTGAAGGTCTCGCCTTTTTTTTTTCCAGCTCTCGTGTCATGCTTGCTCTATCTTACGTGAACGGGGCTGTGTTCGCCGGCTGTGACTTGCTAGGAAACTGATGTAGCTTTACACGGGGAGAGCATCCCTTGGTGTTGTCTGCATTGTTGTGGCAGCCCAGAACACAATACTTCGGACCTCGGCGACACTTCTGTAGGGTCGCTTTTTCCATCCCGGAAAGGCCACTTAGCACAGCGAGCGTCTCGTTTTAGCGCGCCAAGCTGACAGCACGGCGCCCAAGTTAGCTGCACCAACTGCAGAACGCGTTGCGCGCGTGTCGCACGCGCTCACATTTCGGCGAAACACACTCACTTGCCTCTGACCGCTCTGGCGTCTCTCCTCAAGTGTTCCGGAGCTCGCCGCCAGGTGCGGCGTTGTCATCGTTCCGCAAACTTGAGCTTCAGTTTCCTATACCTCAGAGGATGTACAGACCAACGTTACTAGAACCAGGTCAGTTTCGCAGCGCCCCGTAGGTGCGCGCTCTCCGAAGTGGCCGCGGTGGCTGACGCGAGAACTGATGGCGCTGCTGTGCCATCTTGCTTCAAGCGGCGCGCGTCATCTACTGCAGCGCGAGTGACCGCGTTGTCATCGCAGCTCTATCTATTCGTGAGAATCAAGATTTGCCATTGGCACTTGCGCAGTAAACTCAACTGCTTCAAAAACCAAAATTTGTAAAACACTTTCTCCATAATCACCAATAGCATTCAGGAAGCTTTTTAATTGGCAAATATACTTTTATTTACTTATTTTTTACGTATCTATTTTTTGACAGTCCCCGGAACGCTGTTTTCGGGCGGAATCGGCTGGGTCCGAGAAGCTTGTGTTTGGTGCTAGTTAGTAATACATGATGAGAAAAATAAACTGCGCTAAAGACGTGACACAAGAATAGAAGTACACAGAACAATTTGTTAGTCCGTGGTCGTCTGTCAATTCTAGTGACTTGCCTTAAGTGCAGTTGATTCTTGCCAATCACCTGGGCATCTTTCATATTGTCACGCGCTAGGAGCTCGAAGAAACGTACAAGGGGATGCGACTGTCAAAATCTGAGACACAAAGAAGAATATCTCCCAGCTGGCACGGGTTGCTCGTATTCGTCTTCTTCGTCCACTGGCACAGAACACCAGGTGGCATTACTCCTCCCCCCAAGAGAGCATCGACCCTATTCTCAAGAAAAGTGTGCACAGTAGTGGGTCGAAGTAGGCAACATAAACAAACATTAAACAAAGTAGCGCACAAGAGAAAATGCGTCCTGGGCCCGGCAATCGGAAATAAACGGCAATCACTGTTCACATAAAGAGTTCACTGGCACATGAAGGAAATTCGCGTCACCGCGTAAAGTGTGGTTTTAGGCGGACGACGTGTACAGTCTCTGGGCGTGGTAACCTGCGCTGGGATGATGTTGAGCCTCCGTCTGGAACCACTTCGTAGTTGACGTCGCTCACACGTCTGAGTACTTTGTAAGGTCCAAAGTACTTCCTCAAGAAACTGACCCCGCCGCCTAATGGGTGTCCAACCCAAACTTGGTCACCAAGTTCATAATTAACTTTGCGATGGCGGATGTTGTACCGCTGTGCATCTGCGCACTGTTGAGTTCTGATGTGCACACGGGCCAGTTGACGTGCTTCCTCAGCGTGCTAAATGTACTCATTGATGTCGGGCTAATTGGTTGAGCTTGTCGATGTCCTCATGCGGCCGCGATCATGGCGTCTAGCATAGTTCTGACATCTCTACCATAAATAAGCCGAAATGGCGTGAAGCGGGTAGTTTACTGCGTTGCAGTGTTGTGCACAAATGTTACATACGGCAAGATGTCGTCCCAGGTTTTGTGCCTCACATCCACGTACATAGAGATCATGTCGGCTAGCGTTTTGTTTAGCCTTTCTGTTAAACCATTACTCCGAGGGTGGTACGCAGTGCTCTTTCGATGGGTTGTATAACTCAACCTGAAGATATCATTCAAGAGCTTTGCTGTGAATGATGTCCCTCGATCAGTGATGACATATCACGGGGCGCCATTTCGAAGCAAAATTTGCTGCACAAAAAAACTGGCAACTTCAGATGCGGTCCCTCGTGGCAATGCCTTCGTCTCAGCGTAACGCGTCAAGTAATCGGTTGCGACAATAATCCATTAGTTGCCGGAAGAAGACAAAGGAAACGGGCCAAGGAGGTCCATTCCTACTTGATCAAACGGTGTAGGGGATGGATCAATCGGTTGCAGATGGCCTGCAGGCTTTAAGGGCGGTGCTTTGCGACACTGGCATTCACGGCATCTCTTCACATAGCGTTTGACACAGGCAGACATTTTAGGCCAGTAGTAGTGCTGTCGCACCCGATCTATAGTTCTTGAGTAGCCCAGATGGCCGGATGTGGGCTCGTCATGGCAAGCTAATAAGACGTCATCGCGGAGGGCTTCAGGCATGACAAGAAGATGAGATCTGTCACCAGCACCGGTGTTCTTTTTGTATAAGACGCCATTTCGTAGGCAAAATGATGGAAAAGTTTGCGACATCGGACGATAAATGGGTGTGGTGCCACCTTCTAAGTGATCTATAATCATTCTTAGATCGGCGTCATTTCGTTGATGAGACATCAGATCCGGCCCGCTCAGAGTATCCACGAAGACGCCATTCTCTTCTGCGCTTGTACTGGCAGATTGAAGAGGTGCTCGTGATAGCGTGACGGCATCTTCGTGCTTTTTGCCTGACTTTTACACGATGGTGACATCAAACTCC